TTATATAAGTGTGTAATTTAAGACATCGTCTAAGCTCTACATGGGTTCAAGTCATTCGTTTAGGGTCGCATTTTATATGGTTAGCTTATGCAAGCTTCTGGAAGAATTTTTTAAGGAATGATAGTGATCTTACTTTTTCCTCCGGCTCCACAGATCTCTTTCGTATGTCATGTTCCTTGATCAGGCACATGTTTAAGGTGCGATCAAAGAGTTTACCGCCTGCGCATTTGTGATACGTGACAACTTCCGCCTTTCCATCGCACGAGCAAAATCCTTCGGAAGTATTCTTTGCTGCAAATGCCTCGAATTGTGCCCGATTCAAGCAATCACGAGGATCACAGGCAGCAACAGTGGCCGTCACTTCATCCACGCAGACACCCATGTTGACGTCAAAGACGTGTCCAGCGGTGCAATGATAATATGTGGGCACAATATCACAGGAGCAGAAGCCCTTGGTCGTATTCTTTGCTGCGAATGTGTCAAATTTGGAACGAGTTCTGCATAGCGCCGGATCGCAAGCATCGACCACACAAACGTTAAAGGTCTGATCAAAGATGTGGAATTCACCACAGCTCTGATAGGTGGCAACGCCTACAGCCTGGCATGTACAGAAACCATTAACGGAATCCCTGGCTGCAAAAGTGGTTAATTCAGCGAGGTTGTTGCACTGAGAGGCATCACAAGCCGTTTTTAGATTGGCTTTGGTATCTGGTTCCAGGCATAATTCCAATGTGGCATTGTATTCCTTGCCCACTGGACAGGACTCAAAGATGGCGATACCTTCGATACACAAACAAAAGCCTATAGTTGTGTTAAGAGCAGCGTAGGTGGAGTGATCAGCCAGTTTTGCACATTTTCCTTTGGTACAAACGGTGCTAGGTGCCTATCATAAATACAGTCGTTAAGAATCCACAATGATTACGACTTCATTTAAACCCACCTCCATTAGTTCGCAGATTCCTTCGGTGGCATTGTAAACTTTTCCGTTATCGCAGTTTCTGTAGTTTGCCGTGCCGTTAATACATACACAAAAGCTTGTGCCGTCCTCTTCGTTCGATGAGGGGAAAGTGTCATATTCCTCAAGGCAAGAACACTTCTCCGAGTCACAATATTGGCTTGATAAGCAATTCTGTTGAAGATACCCGACATATGATTTATTGTATTGGATTAGAGTAGAATTAAGTGACTTACTGATTCCAGGCATATTTCCAGGATGGCATCAAACACCTTACCATCTGGGCAAAGACTGTAATTCGGTATTCCTCCCTGACAGTAACAGAAGCCCAAAGTGCCATTGCTTGCCTCATATGGCTGATTTTCGGCAAGAGTATCACATTGTGTCGCATCACAGACTTCTGGGCCCTACATTTCAAATGAATTAATATTTATCATCAATATCAATGGATACGGAAGGCTCAGTCGCACGCTTACCACCTCCAAGCAAATCAGTAGTTCTGTATCGAATTCCTTGCCCGAAGGACACAAGGTATATTCAGCGCAGAAGTCCTTACAGGTGCAGAAGCCATCTACGGTACTTTTAGCTGGGAAAACTATATTCGGTATTATATTAACAGCACACGTTGTTGAGTCGCACTCATTGCAGATGCATGAGGTATCCGCCTGCGGAACATATAATGAAAATAACTTTCGGAAAGCAGAGATGGGAAGGAGAGTATTTACAGCTGAGTCCAAGCAAATGCCTAAAGAGTCATCGTATGTTTTACCGGGCGGGCATTCACTAAACGTGGGCACCTCTGATAAGCAGTAACAGAATCCAGTTTCTGAATTAAGGGCTGGGAATGTGTCACCATCTGTCTTATTAACACAATAGTTGCGACAGCATCTGGGCTATAATTTTCGGAGTATTAGCATGGAAGATCATAAGTATTTCAATTATTATTAAGCAATCAACATACATCTGGCTGTGGGGCTAGCACGCATAGGAGTAGTGTTCCATCGAAGCTATATCCAATCGGGCAGGGTACTGGTATGGGTTCGTTGACGCGACATAAACAAAAACTATCCGGATCATCATAGTTTACCGAAACGGAGTATTCATCTTTGCCCTGACACGCTAGAGGATCGCAAGGACCCGTCTGAAATGTTACCATATAATAGAAGCGTAAAGACTTCTACACTCCATATCGAGTACTTACAAATGTGCATATTTCTAGCGTTTCATCGAACGTATAACCAGATTCGCACTTCTGCAAGTAGGCGCCATCGCTTTCGCAGAGACAGAACGTGCTGTTATCACAAGTTAGCGACGGGTAAGCCTGGTTCAGTGTGTTTTTCGTGCATACCGATTGATCACAGGAGCTCTACAATTCATAAAGAGATTTCTTTAACTTATCCATATCCAGATATAGTGTAATATTCCACTTACACTAGGCTGGGCCAGACAAATCAACAAGGTTGTGTCAAATATTGCGTCCGCAGGGCAGGAACGAATGGTGGCGACATTGTCAAGACACAAGTAGAACTTTGTGTCATCGTCGGCGACAGGGAAGGCGGCGTTATTGTCAGCTGTGGCGCACAGATTAGCACTGCACGACACTTTGCTGGAGCATTTGCCAGTCGCTGAGTCGAAACCCTCGCCCACAGCGCAATCAACCACTTGTGGAACTCCGTCGGTGCAATGATAGTATTTGGAGCAGATGGGATGTGCCACATTACCGGATCCACAGCTGCAGGGATTTATGCACTGTCCAGTGACATCGATTCTGCAGGCACTACCATCAAACCACTCCCCGCTTGGGCAAGTGGCAGGCACAGCCAATCCATCAGAGCAGGTCACGTAGGAGGTACAATCAGCAGGGTCGATCATCTGGTAACCGTTCGGCCGGTTGCGACATATCCAGCAGGTGGCATCGGTGTCGGGTACACAAGCGCCCTCGCTATTGCTGAATATATTGCCCTGACCACAGGTGCCGTCGATCAGTTCGCCATCATGACAGAGTTGATACTTGTCACAGTCCGTTGGATGCGCAACCATGCTTCCCTCAGCCATACCATTGGGACAGGTGCAGTCACTGTCTGCTGCGCGCTTGCTGCGCGAATTCGGCTGCAACAGCTTGTTCTCGGGGCATAGATTGTTTTCATCCGTGCGACAGATGCCCACGGAGGCATCGAAGTAGAAGCCACCAATGCAGGATTCCTTCTTCCAGATGCCACTGATGCAGGCAATATAGCTCCAACAGTTATCTGCAGCAACAGCTGCCTTGATATCCTTGCACGCACCACCCACAACAATAGGAGTCTCTCGACCAGGCACAGATGGAGTAACGATGACGGTGTCGTTACCTGAGCCGGAGCCAGAGCCAGAGCCAGAGCCGGAGTCGGAGCCAGAGCCAGAGCCAGAGCCAGAGTCGGAATCACTGCCAGTATCGCATTGTGGACACACATTGTCCACATCTATTACGCAAGTGGAAAGATCAGTATCGAAATAGGATCCGCTTGGACAGGTCTTTGACTGCCAGTTGCCATCTTCGCACTTATAATACTGATTGCAATTCTCTGCATTGTCAGTCACATCGCCATCCACGCAGTCCGAAGTTGAGCTGTCAGGGCAGCAGTTATTGCTGTCTATCACGCATACTCTGATCTCAGGATCAAAGTAGTTGCCCCGATGGCAATCTCCGGGCACCAGTTCACCATTTAAGCAAGTAAAATATAAACGGCAGTTGTCCGGATTGGGAACTAGCTCGCCATGACTAGAGCCATCGGCGCAGTCACACTCTGAGGGTGGAGCCTGGGTGGTGGTTGTTGTGCCATTCTTGTCGGGGCATGTGCCGGGTATGCAGTGCGGACCCGATACATCGAAGTAGCTGCCAGTTGGACACTCTTGAGCGGTTGCCTTTTGCCCTGAGCACATGTAGAAGATAGTGCAGTTGTCCTCATCAGCCACCGCAGAGCCATCGGGCTTGCCAATGCAGAAGTTCTCCCAGCATTGCGAGTTATTCTCATCAACGACGCAAGCCGACAGGGCGGAGTCAAAGTAGGTGCCACTGGCGCAGGATTGCAGCGTTGCCTCCTGATCCCGGCAGACGTAAAAGCTGGCGCAGGATGTGTTGCTTGGCAAAAACTCGCCGTTTTCTTTGTCCATGCATTTATTTTGCCAGCACTCCGCATCTGGGTCTGGAGCGCAACCATTTGTCTGGATATCAAAGTAGCTGCCAGCATCGCATGTCTGGGCATACGCCAGCTGCTGATCACATATATAGAAATCCTTGCAATAGCCAGACTTCAACAAATAAGCGCCATTAACCTCGTCGGCACAAATGTTGGCGGCCTAGAAGTATATAAATAAATAAATACTGAAAATATAGGAGCAGTAAATCTCCGGAATCAGTTAGAGGCGCCGACTTACATCCGCCAGGGGCGCAGCCAGGCTCAGTTTGCATAGACCACGTCCTGCTGTTGAGCATTTGCCAGTTTTCGAATTATACTCCTTGCCGGTGGGGCAATTTATGGAGCGCACAGTATTCTTGGTGGAGCAACGATAATAGCTGGAACAGCTGCTGGGATTCGGCCAATGTGGTGACAGGCCACGAAGCTTGCGGTAAACGCATTCAGGATCAGCAGCGCCGGCAAGGGATGCCACTGCGGTCAATGTAACCACAGTAAGCAGAGTAACTATTGGGAAGAGTTAGAAAAAGTTGAGCAAATGGTTAACTTTTGTCAACTCTCTACGAGAGACAATCGGTGTCCTTTGCTGACCTTTCATTTCTATGCACTAATATTCCACGTCTATTGCTATAATTGTACTCCGCCCAATTACCAAAATTTCAGACCCTTTATATACACATATTAAGATATCGCAGTTAACATTGATTTCTGCTTATCAGCATCGATCGATCAGCGCGTTCCTTATCAGTATTGTAGTTTCTGTTAAACATGCGCCCATGAAGTATTTTTTAATTGAGTTCAAGAATTTTGCATCAATTCCGGGAAGACAACAAATCTATATTGTCGTAGACTCTGTTCAGCCACACCCCTCATATCAATATAATCAGTATTTAATTGCTTATGAATGAAGTTCATTATGGAACCATGGAATGGCAATACTCCTGCTCCCAAAGTATTTAAAAGCACATTTACAATTTTCGTTCTAGATATATATGCATATGTATATAAATATTTTCGTGCTATATTAGTATTAGGCGCATTCACGATCGCAAGTTAAGTTTTTAGAGTCCCAGTAGAGATCGCCGCATGTTTTAATAAAGCCCCGGTCCCCATCGCAGTGTATAAACTGGTGGCAGTCATAGGGATGGGGCAGGTACTCCACACCGGGATGCATTTTGCACATGGAGTTGGCATCCACATAGATCTCCGTGGTTGTTGGCGTTAAGAGGGTAGACAATGTTGTTGCTTTGGTTGATGTCTCTGCCGTATCTGTTTCACCTGTTGGAGTCTGTGTTAAATCTGTTGGTGTGCTTTGGGTTGAAGTTCTTGGCACTTCGGTGGGTCCCACATCTGTTGGAGTTAGTGGCAGCTCTGTTGGTGTGCCCTGTGTGGAAGTTCTTGGCACTTCGGTGGGTCGATCTTCTGTTGGAGTTAGTGGCAGCTCTGTTGGTGTGCCCTTGGTGGAAGTTCTTGGCACTTCGGTGGGTCCAACATCTGTTGGAGTCTGTGTTAAATCTGTTGGTGTGCCCTGTGTAGAAGTTTTTGGCACTTCGGTGGGTCCAACATCTGTTGGAGTCTGTGGCAACTCTGTTGGTGTGCCCTGGGTTGACGTTTTCGGTACTTCGGTGGGTCCAACATCTGTTGGTGTGCCCGGGTCCTCGGTTGACACGGTAGGATCACTTGGAGTCGGTGATGCGTCTGTGGATAATTCGGTTGTTGAGGTACTCCGCGTCCCAGTTGAGCCGCTGTCAGTGGGTGTCGATTGGGTGGAGGTCGGTTGAGTGGAGGACGGTGCTGTGGGAGTCGTTGTTGCTGGACTTGGCTTAACACATCGTCTTGCATTGAGTGCTGTTGTCAGGAGCAGCAGCTGCAACGATATAAATATCCAGGAGACCACTGAAACAAATACACATTTCCCTTGATATAGTGCTTGGGTTGGGGTAATTAAGAACACTTCAATTTTTTACAAAACTCACATCTCATTTTGTTCTGGGATCAAGTATTTATCTGTACTAGAGCAAGTGCATGCTGTTCTCTTTATATTTATATCAATTGGAAATGCATCGTCTATGGTCACCTTATCAATACCTAATTAGTATATAACATGGCACTTAAGTATTTATCTTATCTCAGTGGGAACACGATTTGCATAAAGTTACATATTTCAATCAAATTGACATTGTTATTGGCCAGAATCAAGTGAGGGTTGTAAACAACAACTCGATATAGTTGAACCATGGCCGGAAATACGTATAGTGTCATATTTTTGGGTTATATATTAAAGCCACATTGAAATTGTTACTAAATATATTTAATTGTGTCCACATTGCAGAGTAAATCTTTTGTATGAAATATGTATTCTTTTCTTTTAATGCTGCCTAAAAGTAGGCAACAGGTCTGGTGACAATTTCTTAGTTTATTAGCAGAATTCATTGAAATTGGGAGTAGAATTGAGAAGTTAGTAGTTAGTAGTTTGGGAGTAGCTCATTACCATCTTTAATTGTGTTAAAGCTGCAATTATATGTGAAAAAGTTTATTTATTATATTTTATTGTTAACATTTTACACACTTACAGAGGGTTTATTAACTTGCAAAGGCATCTCTAACAAAATATATAAATTCTTAATCTTGATCAACTGCTTTGACTTTATAACTATTTATCTATCGGTCTCTATATATATATAAGAGTTTGTCCTGGGTGACAGGAAACCGAAATTTTCATATTAGTTACCTGCGACGGAGGTGAGGTAAATGTAGGAAAACACTTTATTTACCACCCGGCCTCAAATTGGTTTTCAAAGGCCTTTGCTCAAATTTTTTTGAGGGCTATTTCACACATTTTAAAAAATCCATTTCTCCTTGGTGGAAATGGGTATCAAAGATTTGGAGGTTGAAGTTTAGAGTTCAAATTCATTTCCAAGGATCCAAGCTTCCCCTGTAAAAAAACGATTCAAAGATTTTTTGGGCAGAGCTTAAACTTTTCTTCGATGTTTTCAAAGCAAATAGATGTGGACTTAAAGATAGTACGGGCAGATTTAAATTGTATATTATACAATTTTAAGCACAAAACTTGCAATACCCGCTAGTCAGTCTATATTTTGATTGCAATGTGCAGCTCCTATGAGCAGACAGTACATAAATCTATTACAAAATTTGAAATTAATTTGAAATATATAATTGAAATTGATTGATAGCTCATTCAACTTAGGCATGATCTTGTTGGGAAGTGAAATGTTGTCATAAATCAAACAAATCGAACTTATCTATTTCCGTCTATTGACGGCTGTAAACACGTTCAAATCGACTGATTGTTGTAAGTCCCACAAGAAACAGGGATTATATTACTAAGTATATAAGGTCCGATAGTTCAGTATTATTCCACTCATACCTTCACGAGCAGGCAGACCAATAGGAACTAACCGTAAACATGAAAGGTAAATTAGAAATCGAAAAATTACCCAACTTAAAATATCAATAAGTACAAAGTATTCCACAAATTAGTGTGCTTAATTGGAATAATACTTTGCTATGCGATAACTGCCTTTGCTCTGCCACTCGATGAGTCAACCATATTGGAAATTTCAACTATTGAGACAACAACTGCCGAAACGGACACAACCGAGACACCAACAACTGTAACAACAGAAATAGAAACCACCTTTGAACCACCTGTTCTTTGTGATGATGGTGTCCAATTTCTGCCAGCGCCAAATTGTGATCAATTCTACTTGTGCGCATATGGTATAGGAATTCTAAAAACATGTCCCAACGGACTCTATTGGGATCCCTCGCTAGACGTTTGCAACTGGGGCTCAGATAATTGCGAAAGCGATCCGGCCGTCCCTGAATCGCCGGAATCTGATTGCTCCACGGGAAATCAATTTGTGCCCGATGAATCTGATTGCACCAAGTACATTCAGTGCGTTTATAATATTGGAATTCAAATGAGCTGCCCACCCGGCCTATTCTGGAACCAACCACTTCAGAGATGCGACTACGAATGCAAGTTTTAGAATTTCTCCGTGAACCGAGGCAGTTTTGTTAAAATTGCAAAATATATTATTCAATACTGTCAAAAGAGCAACAAATCGATGTTATTTCTACGGGAATTGAAAACAATTGTTGATTAGCTTTATACTGAAATCTAGATTTTGCTGCTGGAAAAAAGGCTTTGCAAGCCGTTCAACTTTGAATATAGCTTAATAGACAGCTTATCAAAGCAATTATGATAAATATAATACGTTCATCTTTTGAGGGCTTCAATCAACGAAAACAACTCGCTTGCAGCCCTACTGTTTTATGTCTGTGACATATTGTAATCGTTATCTATTGCTAACCATTTAGTTACGCAAAAATTTGATAAGAAGTGCAGCAAGTAATTCATTGTGTTTCCACACGAGAAAAAAAAAACTAAATTCTAACAAACGTTAACTTGAAATTAGGAATAAAAGCAATGAAGAAATTAAGAGACAGCACAAAAGACAAATAAATGTTATACAAGCAAAGCAAAAGCCCTTGAACTTAAAGTCGATGTGAAAAAGCAACAACTCAATGATAACGCTTTCGATAAAATGCAACAACTCAAAGATAAGGCTTTCTTTCGAATTACTCAGAAATATTTGCTAATTTTTTTTTTTTTTTTGTGTATCCTCACAAAGGGTTATTGACAGTCTTTCAGTTAATAAATTTCATTCGAAACTGGCCTAAATTATTTTTCTTTTTGCCTGAACTTAGTTAACATCAAATATTTGTATTATATAGTGAAAAAACTGATTTGTATGTCTGCAAGGGTATTAAGTCTTCGCCATGAAGCAGAGACAGTTTTTGTTTTGTTCTTCTTAGGCAAAAGCTTTCAAAAAATAATCAACAAGGGAATAGGCAAAAAGATACAAAAGCATTTACCCATATAAGATATATTCCAACAAATCATAACAAAGCAATTACATTCAGAGCAATTGTAATTAAAAAATGATTCTCTTTGCCACCTTTGGTTGAAACCGTATAAAAGTCTTCGAATTTTGGCCCACTAAGGCAGTCGAAATAATTTGTGGACAGAGAAGAAATGAAAGCGTTTAGTAAGTGAAGTTTTGAGAGGTCAACAATTTACTTGCTTCAATGAAATATTTGATTTATAGCACTTGCACTTGTGGGTTTAATGGTTGTTTTGGGAGCCAGAGCCCAGAGTCTGAAAGAGGTAAGCGAATGTCCTGATCTTTGAGCGACAGTTAAATCAGTTGTTTGTTGTTTGGTTTACCCTTCAGCAATGCAAGGGCATTCAGTATGATTTGTTGCCTTATCCAGACAAGAATGACCAATTCATTGTGTGCGCCTATGAAGTGCCAGAGGTGCGTAGCTGCATACAGGGTACTTGTTTTGATCCCATCTTGAAGGGCTGCAGCGATTCTGCCTGCACTCCAACTACTCCCAGTGACAAGGACATTGCAATTACGTTCTGCACAGAATTAAAAGGAGGAGAAAAAATACCATCAGTGGATTGCTCCCACTTCTGGATCTGTTTGACCGAAATGGAGCCCGTCTATGTGGCCTGCCCACAGGGCAAACACTACTCACGCTCCGAACACGAATGCGTATCGCCGGCACTGGCCAAATGCGCCGCCCCAGAGAAGCTGTGCGAATCCAACTATAGCACATATGCGGCCGAGACCTGCAGTGAATACTACGGATGCACTAACAATAAGCTAATGAAGCGCAGCTGCCCCTATGGTGAGGCTTACAGCGCAGAGAGTGCAGCGTGTATTAAGGATTTGAGCCACAGCTGTGTCACAGACGCCAAGCCGGACTGCCTAAATCCCGCCAATGCCAATGCCTACTTCAGTCACAGCGACTGTACCAAGTTTTACGTTTGCATACAGGCCCAAGTCTTCGAGGGCAAATGCGCCGATGGCTATGGATTTGACAGAGAGAGCTCCAACTGCAGGCTCGGCATCTGCAAGAGTAACTAAGTCTTCAGATCAGCAATAAATTTAATAAAAACAAAAACACACAAGCTTTAGCAATGAACAGAACGGAACTGGTTTTTTTTAATATTCTTTGTACACCGATATTTATCCCGGGAATTTGAATAGAAGAAGCTACACACATATTTTATCGCAAGTGAGCAGCCTGGAATTCCAAAACAAGTGCTGAGGACAAGTCTTCACAAAGGGCAGATAGTCGCACAGAATGAAGCGAGTGCAGTCACCGGGGTAGGGTATAAAAACACCCTTTTGAGCAGCGCATAACGCAGCGAGGCTATTATCATGATGATTTTCCGGGAGATTCGAGGTGTAAGAAGATATAGGACAGTTGTTCAATTCCATAGTTTTGCAACGCTGAAATTGCTCACTCCAGTAGGAATTAGGTGGACAGCTTAGAGTTCGCGTCTCGTAGTAGCGATTACAATCGCCTGGGTAGGGCATATGAGTTATGGCAGCCGATGGAAGAGTTTGTGATGTCGAGCAGCTGTTCAGAGCAGACAGTGCAAAAATTAACCAAATTTGATGTAACACTGCAAGCAAATAAAAGACGAGTTTACAAGTTTAGAAATTTGCTTTAAAGCTATTTTATGACTTACTCACTTTTGTCTCACGCAGTCAAAATGGCAGCTTGGCAAAGCTGTTACTTGGCTTTATATAATATCGCAGTGTGTTATCAACAATACTTGACACAAGGTCAATAAGAATATCTAAAACAATATAGATAATCTAGGCATATAAAATGCATGTACTTTTTGCATATGTCTATGATATTGAACGTTTAAGTGTCCTTCACCTACAATATAAATATTAAATCAAGACACATATTTGGATAGCTCTCGACACAACAATTTCTTTGGTATTTTAATATTTACCAGTATTAATTCTTAGTAGCCGCGCATTTCTTACGCTGATCAAGACTTAAAGATATGAGCGATAAAACTGATAAGCAATCATATAAAAAGCGTGAGTAGAAATTGAGTACTTTCTCTGGACTCTGCTGGTACAATCAACAGTAAGTGTTCATTAATCGAAACAGAAAGAAAAACAGGAGTTGAGTATTAAATTTCTTTTGAAGCGATGAAATTCACGATCCTCATTTGCTTGCTTGGGTTAGCTATAGTATCGGCTAACTATGGCAACGGTATTGGCAATGGATCGGTAAGTCGAGGCAAGGAATGGTTAGCAGAACCTTTGAATAACAACATCTAACATACAGCTGATACCGACTGAACCGCATACTCAACTAGGCCAGTGTCCAGCCTACGACGATCCCAATCATATTGTGATGTTTGCCTACCCCAACGACTGCCGCAAGTACTACATATGCATGAATGGCCTGGCATATCTGAATCAGTGTCCTGATAACTATTATTGGAGCCAGCTGACCTATCGCTGTGACTACAGGCAGTACTCCAGTTGTGGAACTACCGATTTTCCAGATAGTAGTCAGGCTGTTAGGTATAGCGCATATCCGGGAGATTGCACCCGCTACTATGAGACGCGTACTCTACGCTGTCCCCACAACTATCATTGGAATGAGCACTATGAGCGCTGCGATCTGCCACAATTTGCGGGCTGTTCGGGATACCCTGTAACCTTGCCACCAAGTAGCTCGCCTGCTCCTTTGGTGCCAACTGCTGCTACGGCGCCGCCTACATCCCAGCCAATAACGCAACCGGACTACAATAAACCTTTCGACCCGGAATATCTCTGCAAAAATTCTGTTAATATGCCATATCTGCCATATCCTGGAGATTGCCAAAAGTTTATCTACTGCGGCCCAACTCCATCTGTGCTCACATGTCCCACCGGCTTGTACTGGAATCGCAATACACAGTCTTGTGGCTCAACCAACCTGGGCTGTACGATGTAGGATCCTTTTATCTGCTTTGCAAACATATTGAGAAAATTGATTCTATTGTAAATCTACCAAGTATCTGGTAATCAAATCGTAATCCTTTATTGATCAATCAAATCATTTTATTTTCTACGCAATTAACAATAAAATTGTTTTAAATCAGACTAACTTTCGATTGCTCCCTTTTGCCATGCAATATAGTGTGTTCGGCATTTGCCATATTTGAGAGCTTAGGCAAACTATCACAAACTAATCTCATTTTTCTAACAATCTTACCAATGCAGCTAGAGTGGATAGACATTCGATCAGTCGCAGTTTGTCCTCACTGACGGACTGACAGCTGATCAACTCACAAATTACCTTATTTGATAAAGATTCATGCTCAGACGGGGTTTTGAGAAATTCCAAACGGATTTGTACAACTTTTTTGTTTACCATCCAATCGGTTTCAAACTCCCTTGCAAAGATGTTAGTTCGACTTCACTTTCCGACAAATACATCCTTCTTTGCTTGGAATGGGGTCTAACAATTGGTTCGTTCCTATGGCAGCTATATGATATAGTGGTCCGATCCAGCTGGTTTTCACATATGTGCTGCGTGCAACAGAAAGATGGACTTCTGCAAAATGTCATTAAGATAGCTTTAAAACTGAGAGACTAGTTCGCATAGAAACAGACAGACGGACAGACGAACAGACGACAGACGGACATGGCTCTACCGACTCGGCTGTTGATGCTAATCAAGAATATATATACTTTATGGGGTCGGAGATGTCTCCTTCTATGCGTTACACATTTCACGACAAAATTATAATACCCTCTGCAACGGTATAAAAACATTATACCTTTTTTACCCATTTTCAATGAGTTCAGGGTATAAAAACTTGCCGTGAATTACCCGCTAGTCTATTATTTAAAAATCCCAAACAATTTTAAGTAACAATTATATATAATTTATATATGGTTGTAAATGATTCTTTCAATGCGTTGTGGTATCAAGGGTACCAATATAATGAACAGCTTTGTCAATATAATTATTCTTATCAAAATAATTTTTAATTTTTAGTGTTTGAACATAGCAATCTTAGCTATCAAAGCCCTACTTTTTATTTGACAAGAATTGAACAACTTCGCTTGCGGCCCAAATCCTTGTACTGCCAAGGCAGATATTCTTTTTTGTCCTACTATATATTAAAGTTGTCGGTCTTCAGACTCTATATTGCAGTCAGAACAGTTTGCAATGCTTGTGCAGTGCAATTGGCAAGCTGGGCATCCATGCAGCGCAATTCTGTCGGACTGAATTCCTCATCATCTGGGCAGGCATAGCCCACCGCAATGGGCTCTTGGCACACAATGTATTTTGAGCAGTTGTTCGGATAAGGCACAAGTGAGCCGTCCGTTTTACCTTCACAGAAATCATGGGGTGATGGACTGGCCCCTGTTGTCTTGATGTCAGGTAGCTCAGTTGTTGATGTCAAAGGGGCTTCAGTTGTCGGTGTTATCGTGCAATTTGCAAACCAGGGTGCCATGCAGCGCTTAAGTTGAGCACTAAATTCTTGACCCTCGACACAATCGAATATCACAGGGTTGGGGCTATTGCACTGAATGAACTTGGCGCAGTCGTTGGGGTAGGGTACCAGGTCGCCCACCGCCACGCCCTCACAAGGGTCAGACTGCGGAGCAGTTGTAGTAGAAATTGTTGTTATTGGTGCAGTAGTTGTTGTCAAAGCGGTTGTGCTTATGGTGGTAGAGATGGTTGTCATTTCTGTAGTAGTTGTGCTCAAATCGGTTGTGGCTGTCGAGTAATTTTCTAGACAAGCATCGGGCGATACGTTGGCACCACACTCGCCGCTGTAGGGATCGTAGAACTCACCGCTGATGCAAACGCCCATCATGTAGACATTATCGTTAACACAACGGAAATACCATTGACAGTTTTCGGGATATGGAAATGTGCTGCCTGCGTTATTCAAGCAAATGCCAGGGGCAGGCGTCGGTAACGGAGGCCACACGGTGCTGCCCGTTGTTTCGCAGTCACTCTCGTCCCAGTCTACACACTGCTGCAGAGCCTCGCTGAAGTAATATCCGGGAGTGCAGTGAAATGCTATTGGCACTGGCTCCGAGCACACGACATATTTACTACAGTTGTCGGGATAGCTCACGTACTGCCCGTGGAGTAGTCCAGAACAAAGTTCGGTTATAGGCTTATCTGTTGTTGGCGTTGGGGTTGTAGGTGCTTGCGTTGTAGCTGGAGTAGTCGGTGCTGTTGTGGTAGTAGGTATGGAGCCTTCCTGGCACGCTGTGGGTGAGACATCCTGTCCACAGTCGCCCGTCACAGGATTATACCAAGCATTATAAATGCAGTTAACTACAGCGGATTCTCCGTTGCCCAAGCACACAATATACTGCTTACAGTTGGTAACTAAGGGATAGGAGATGCCAAACTCTTGATCTGCACAGAGTTCATGTGGACTTAGAGTTGTGCTTGATGTGGTGCTTGTTGTCTCAACTTCCAGACAAGCTGTTGGCGGCACATCAGGTCCACAATTGCCGCTCTTTGGATCGTACCAAGAATTTACTGGACATTTGGCCTTAACAGACTGATCATCGCCCAGGCATAGAATATACTCTTGACAGTCCTCAACATAGGGAAATGAGGTGCCAAGTTCATGGCCCTGACATTCGTTGTGTGCTTCAGTGGTTAGCTTCGGTGCTTCCGTCGTTGTCTTGGCAGTACTCTGGCCGTCATAGCACACAACCTCATTTGGATCGTCACATATATGTAAAGCCGGATTGAAAAGAAAGGGCTCGGAACACTTTTGGCGCACAGCTTGCTGATTGATGCACACGATAAACTCGTCGCAGTGCTCAACAGAGGGCATCACAGTTCCGTTAGAAACACCCATGCACTCATCGGGTGTAGTTGTTGTCGGTTGTTGTGATTCAATACAATCAACTGCATCGGGAGTGTCACATATCTGCAGATCCTTATTGAAGAGTTTACCCGTAGCGCAGTGTTCTAACTCCGTGCGTGAATCGCTGCATGAAATATAGGCAGCACAATCATATGGGTATTCATAAAAGCCAGTCGGCAGGTGTTCACAAAACGTTGAATCAAATAGTGGAGTAGACCCGAATAGCATGTTTACTTTGATATTTCTGGCTGAAATCCAACGAGCTGCAAACACGACCAACAACGAAATCAGGAGCCATTTGTAGGCGTAGGCTAAAAGAAAAGAGCAAAATATGTATATCATAAGAAATAAGTCGAGAGTGCGTAGTAGATACGAGCGAATAGTAACACCCTGTCCAGCCTACTTATACACTATTATCCTAATACAAAATTACAAGACTGTGAAGGTTTTCTTGAGGAGCTTGTTTCCTTGATGCTTCTAGCTATAGCGTGTGTATACAAGAGCCCCATGGTTGTAATTCCCAATGAGGAATTCGGCAGGTTAAACAAGTATATAGAAATATATATGCATAGCTGATCCAAACAAATATAATGGAAATATGTTCATATATTAAGTTGCCTTTTTTAAGCAATTGCATATTTTATTGATAAAATAACATTCATATTAGAGCTTTCGTTTCAGTTGTTTTCGTATAATACTGTGCTTGCGATCAGGATATATTCTTGTCATCTAGTGCTGAACACATCCTGTATTCTCTGGAAGATCACAAGTGCCCTTCTGGCCATTGAAGTACTTGTCACCACAGCTGACCTTAAGTGCCTGTTGGTGGCGGCAGATATAGTAGTCGTTGCAGCGGGTTGGGGAGGCCAGTAGAAAGCCGTTGGGCTTTCCAACGCATATGAATTGAATTTGGTCGTCCGTTGATGAGACTCCAGTCATAAATTGAGTAACTTCTTTGAGTGGGCGGAAGCTAGGACGGGCACGGAAAGGTTGCTTAGCTTTTGTCGCTGCTGCTCCTCCTGGACACTTTGTTGTGGTTGTGCACGGGGTTGTTGTTGTAATACACTCGGTTGTTGTTGTCGTTGTGCTGCAAGTCGTTGTAGTTGAAGTTGTTGTTTTGGTTGTTGTCGTTGTAGTTTTAGTCGTTGTTGTCGTAGTTGTTTTTGTTGTCGTTGTGCTGCAAGTTGTTGTAGTTGTAGTTGTTGTCGTTGTAGTTTTAGTCGTTGTTGTCGTGGTTGTAGTTGATGTAGTTGTGCTGCAAGTCGTTGTAGTTGTAGTTGTGGTTGTTGTAGTTGTAGTTGTTGTCGTTTTTGTCGTAGTAGTCGCAGTTGTGGTTGATGTCGTTGTGCTACAAGTTGTAGTAGTTGTTGTCGTAGTTGTGGTTGTTGTCGTAGTGCTGCAAGTCGTTGTAGTTGTAGTCGTTGTTGTCGAAGTTGTGGTAGTGGTCGTAGTTGTGGTTGATGTCGTTGTGCTACAAGTCGTTGTAGTTGTAGTCGTTGTTTTCGTAGTTGTGGTTGTTGTCGTAGTTGTGGTCGATGTCGTTGTGCTACAAGTCGTTGTAGTTGTAGTCGTTGTTGTCTTAGTTGTGGTTGTTGTCGTGGTTGTGGTTGTTGTCGTTGTAGTTGTTGTCGTAGTTGTGGTCGATGTCGTTGTGCTACAAGTCGTTGTAGTTGTAGTCTTGGTTGTGGTTGTTGTCGTTGTAGTTGTCGTTGTTGTAGTTGTTGTCGTTGTTGTCGTGGTTGTGGTCGATGTCGTTGTGCTACAAGTCGTTGTAGTTGTAGTCTTGGTTGTGGTTGTTGTCGTTGTAGTTGTCGTTGTTGTAGTTGTTGTCGTTGTTGTCGTAGTTGTGGTTGTTGTCGTTGTAGTTGTTGTAGTTGTGGTTGTTGTCGTTGTGCTACAAGTCGTTGTAGTTGTAGTCGTTGGTTTCGTAGTTGTGGTTGTTGTCGTTGTAGTTGTGGTTGTTGTCGTTGTAGTTGTTTTCGTTGTTGTCGTTGTTGTCGTAGTTGTGGTTGTTGTCGTTGTGCTACAAGTCGTTGTAGTTGTAGTCGTTGTTTTCGTAGTTGTGGTTGTTGTCGTTGTTGTCGTTGTTGTCGTTGTTGTCGTAGTTGTGGTTGTTGTCGTTGTAGTTGTTGTAGTTGTGGTTGTTGTCGTTGTGCTACAAGTCGTTGTAGTTGTAGTCGTTGGTTTCGTAGTTGTGGTTGTTGTCGTTGTAGTTGTTGTCGTTGTAGTTGTTGTCGTTGTTGTCGTTGTTGTCGTTGTTGTCGTTGTTGTCGTAGTTGTCGTTGTTGTCGTAGTTGTGGTTGTTGTCGTTGTAGTTGTTGTAGTTGTGGTTGTTGTCGTTGTGCTACAAGTCGTTGTAGTTGTAGTCGTTGGTTTCGTAGTTGTGGTTGTTGTCGTTGTAGTTGTTGTCGTTGTTGTCGTTGTAGTTGTTGTCGTTGTTGTCGTTGTTGTCGTAGTTGTGGTTGTTGTCGTTGTAGTTGTTGTAGTTGTGGTTGTTGTCGTTGTGCTACAAGTCGTTGTAGTTGTAGTCGTTGGCTTCGTAGTTGTGGTTGTTGTCGTTGTAGTTGTTGTCGTTGTTTTCGTAGTTGTGGTTGTTGTCGTTGTAGTTGTTGTCGTTGTTGTGGTTGTTGTCGTTGTGCTACAAGTCGTTGTAGTTGTAGTCGTTGGCTTCGTAGTTGTGGTTGTTGTCGTAGTTGTGGTTGTTGTCGTTGTTTTCGTAGTTGTGGTTGTTGTCGTTGTAGTTGTTGTCGTTGTAGTTGTTGTCGTTGTAGTTGTTGTCGTTGTAGTTGTTGTCGTTGTTGTCGTAGTTGTGGTTTTTGTCGTTGTGCTACAAGTCGTTGTAGTTGTAGTCGTTGGTTTCGTAGTTGTGGTTGTTGTCGTTGTAGTTGTTGTCTTTGTTGTCGTTGTTGTCGTTGTTGTCGTAGTTGTGGTTGTTGTCGTTGTTGTAGTCGTTGTTGTTTTGGTAGTTGTCGTTGTAGTTGTGGTCGTCGTTGTTGTTGTTGTGCTGCAAGGTGTTGTTGTTGTTATATCCTCCTCTTCGGTGCATGGCGGCTTTGTGGTAACAGAAGGGGTAGTTGTAGGCTGAGCATTTCCGGAGCACGGCGGGCGAGTGGTAACACATGGCGGAGTTGTTGTCAGGCAAGGAGTTCCCGCATCCCTAGCTAAAACTGATAGAGGAACATATTGCCGACTATCCAAGTTGGCACCAAGTGTGCTGCTTGCAGAAACTGCTATAAGCAGTAAGGTTAAAGCTGCAAAATGGCAAAGCGTTAGGTCAATAATTCCGGTATTTTGGATTCTGGCCGTTTACCATATAAGTTGCGCATGGCTGCTTTTAGTTGCTGACGTTAAAAATTTCTATTTAACAGCTTTTCACAGCCTCGGCAGTACTGAGAGACTGCCTGCTCTCAATAACCTTTTATACACATTGCAATAATAACCAATGTGCCAAAAATAGTAATTTTCGTGTGGCTGCCTCATTAGCAAAGTAAGTTCCTGGCTCATTCCTTATCAAATATTGATATCGAGATCTTTATCGTGCTTGTTGCACCCGCAGCTGGTCCATTTATGTCTACGGATTTCGTGTACCCTGTTCTTTTATTTTTGAAGGTTATTTCTTCTTTAAACCCAATAATAGATATCAGTCTGAAGAGGGCAAACACATACTCTAGCAGGCTGTCTGAATAAAAATCAAGCATAATTGTATCCAAATAATTGCTAGGAGATTAACGGTTCCCGATAAACGTTTTTTGTATACTTACAAACAATTAATATTATCATAAGCTAAATAAATATAATAAAATGAATATACGAATTTATGAAATGCACAAAGTCTATAGCGGTCTTTGCTTGCGTGTGTCTTTGCTAGGGTATATCGCAGTCGAGCGTCTCGATTGCACAATTATTTTGTGTTATTTATATCATAGCATTTAATTATGATTATGAAAAGCATACGCCTCAAGGCGCCACGTTTTTCATCATCATTAAATCAAAAGAAGAAAAAAGAAGAAAAAAAAAGAAATGCATTGGCCTATTAGATAGTTAATATACTAATTGTGCACTATTGAATTGATTAGTTTCATAATAAGACACGCGCTTCACAAACGAATTGACATTTGTCTTAACATCTGATCTTGCATCATTTTATACCAACTTAACCGTCTATAAAGTACACCAAATCCATATATATTCTATACGGCTATTCATACATCAAATTGTATATGAAATTGTTCCAGTTTTTGGTTCACATTAGGCATCCAAAATATATATTCTTAACTAAGTTAATGTCTCTAGTACATCACGCTGTTTACATACTTAAATATTAATTTTACACTTACGCACAATCTTAGTACACATTTTGAATCAAATTTTAAAGGTAAAGGGCTTTCAAATTGTTTTGATATTTGCGTTAAGTTTTATTATTGTTCTTATTTCCTTCCTGGCAGCTCGCACGATATTGTTTTGAATTATTTCTTAATATTTGTTTCGCTTTAATTTATTGTGTTGTTTGTAGCTCCACGACTTGGAAGACACTAAAGTGACTAATGGTATTTGAAAAGTTATTTCAGCAATAGAGCCAGTAAAAGAAGGAAACTGATAGACAGACGTTAATCATATCAAGATATAACCCACTTTAGTGATAATAAATACGCTTGGATAAGATTTTGGTGGAATTTCATTTCAAATTGTAGCATTAATTAATGAAATAACATTCTGGTCAAGAACAGCATGGGGTTTATGTTTATTTTTTTCTTGTATTTGTTTATTTACTAGCAACTAATCATTTGCACTGCCTAGCCTTGAAATTTTGCGATAGGCTACTGTGTTAGGAAAGTGTGTATAATAAGGAAGACACGTCCACTTGGAGCTGAGTACCTATTGACCCCTTCGTCCATCTCTCCTTTCAAGTTATGGCAGTGATATTATAGACCAAAGAAAATAAAAAAAATTTTTTTTTTTTTTAACATTTGCAGAAAAATATACTCAGTTTTCTAGTAGCTTCTATAGGCGATAACTATCTCCCTGCATAATTGCGGGCGTTGGTGTTTTTTTTCATGTATGGCGAATTACATACTTTTAGGAATATTTCTCAAATAAATGTAAATTTCTTGTTTGGGGTAACACAGAATTCTTTTTCAAGCCAATTCTAATGGTTTCATTTAAAACCTCTAATATTTTTTGAATGAAATGTACGTGGATGTTGAGAGTATTCTATTAAATGAATTTTTTGGCAAATTTGTATTTTTCAAAATTTGTAGTAAGATATTAGATGTCAAAACCTTTCCTAACAACTGGAAATTAATATTATTTATATATGTATATATATGTATGTATTAAATACTTATTAAATTTTTAAAATTGGCAAAGAGGTCATTGCGTCAGCATTGTATAAAACAATCAAGCACTTTTGGAAACAGAACTTCAAAAAATTAAATCTCTTAAGATACTGTGTCCGATTCTTTTCAGAAATATACAAATCAAGGGTACAGAAAAAACTATAGTGATTTCTGTGACACCATTTAAATGCATTTGATATAAGACCATGCCGCACAAGGTTCTGAGGATATTCCAAAAACTACTCAATATATTTATTCCTGTAGTTGTAGTTATGGGATGTAAAAAAAGAGGGTTTGGAAAATGCCACCCTTCATTTGGTAAAATTTCTTTACCATTCGATCGCCTTCAAACTTGATTTTAAGGAACTTTATAAACATTCATTTGTGAAGCGTTTCACACACAGTCAAAATTTAAGGTTTGCAGAAAGACTTGACTATGTTCTCGTATACCATACACAAAATAAGTATACTTCACTTTTTTGGCAGCCCCCGCGCTCTATTGATAGTTTAAGAAACATAATTTTACATATCGCCCTTCTATGCAATTCTCATGTAGTGAAATGAGCCTTGTACGTTTTCGTGCTTTGATAACGAGTTTTATTTTCTGACCAAGTTGTTTAAAATTGTGAAATAAATCAAATTTATTTTACCTTTTACTCTCTTGCAGTCTACCGTGTTCTCTCTGCCTCCCTACCCCTACTTCCTTTCCTGCTCTTATCCTAATTAACCAACTCTCCATCCCTTTTGTGTTTGTCAGAAATGTGATAAAAGAGCAGTCAAATAAAGTTGCGTGAGGAGGTAGGCTATAATTTATGTAAATAAATTAAAATAATTCTATTTCATGACAATTCAGACCTTAGCATAGCTTATCAACTAGTTTGTATATGTAATAGATCCCTTTAAACTGTGAAATCGCAATGAAACATAGGTTGAGCGTAGGCTGTTCACCATTTTGATTCCAGTTTTTTCATTTCAAACGCATGATTGATTTTATCGATTCCCTGTAAAAATGATAGGGGAAAAAGTTACCTACGTATCAGTCACATGGGAAGTGAAGATTATATTATCTATCGGTACAATTTACATATTGGCACTACATTCATTCATTCATTTTCCACAACTGTTCAGTCTATAAAAACAAGTCTCGATGGCGCGTTCGTACAGTTTAAACGAGAATTTGACCGTGACTAGAGACATGAAGTCTCTTGTGGCCCTCTGGATAATTCTGATCCTAAATAAAACAGCTGTCGCACAGTTTAAAGTAAAATATTAAAGTAATCTTTGTTGGCGGACTCATCGGTATTAATTAAATCTTACAGGATGGTTTCATGTTTCACACCTCTATCTGTAAAGGTAAAAACGGCGTCCTGTTGCCCATGTTTGGCAAATGTCGAGGATATTATATTTGTAATGAAGGCAAGGCTGTTGCTGGATCATGCGATGAGGACAGCCGATTCAACCCCCTAACCCTCCATTGCGATGATGCAGACAATGTGATCTGTCCATACGAAACACCTGATCATGACGAAGACGCGGACATGGATACGTCAGAAGCCGATACATCGGAATTCGACAGTGACGAGATCGAAGAGCCTCCTGTCAATACGAAGCCGCCTAAGCAACTGTCTAATCCTAATAAACATCACATTGCTAATTTGTGCTTTCACAAAAAAAATGGAGTAGCCTTGCCCAAAGCAGGATCCTGCACTGAGTATTATATGTGTAAATCAAAACTGGCCCACCTACGCCACTGCCCAGGCCGACAACACTTCAGTCCAACTCGAAAACTTTGCATGAAAGCATCGGAAGCCAAGTGTTCCATAAGCCAGGTGCAGGTGCAGGTGTCGACAACGGAAGAGCCCAAGTCTAGCCCCGCCGTAACCGCTGGTCTTTGCTCCGATGAGAAGCAAGATGCTCTTGTGCCCCATCGTAATGACTGTAGCAAGTTCTTGCTGTGCAGCAATATGATGTTCCTGGTAATGGATTGTCCACCAGGATTGCATTTTAATGCCAAGGTGAGGCGATGCGACTATCCAAAGATCGCACAGTGTGAGGCACCAAAGAAGCCAACTAAGAGAAATAAGAAAAAACTGTCAAAAAAGAGCAAGCCGAAAGGAAACCCCTTCTAAATACACATATAATAATACAAGTGATGCAATTTTAATAGCTGTGACTTCTTTTGGTCTACCTTTCGAGGTGTTCTTGGTGTACTATGGGAAGATCATAATCTAAAGCTTAGATCCCTTTGTGGATCTTTGTGATAAAAGAAATTACAGCTATTCGGCAAATCTATGCCTTGGATGGTTCCAAGGTTGCACGGCTGAAAGTTCGACATTCATCCGTTCAGTTTCCTATTTAATTTATAATGTGCGAATTTGGCAAAACTTCCCAGTTCGGAAAATACGCGGAAACCCTTTTTACCTAAAATATATGATTGTATGTGGAGACTTCTCTGAGCTTTCGCTATGATATAGCTGCAATTGAAACGATCTTTTAATCATCGTCTGATAAAACTACAAAGTGAAGCACGATAATGCAGCTTTAAATGGTTTTATTAATGAATTTAGCGTTTAGCAGGCCAGTCGCACGAACGGATCTGCTCGTTGAAAACCAGGCCAGGCGAGCACGTAAAGTTAATCTCACACTCGCACTGGCAAACAATGTAGCCTCCGCTGTTGTCAACGGCGAACATGGTACCATCGCGTTGACCAACACAGCGACCTCCGCTCTCGCAGTAGGTGCCTGAGGGGCCGGCTGTGGGTCCGCTGGGTGGGGGACTGCCATCGTCGCATTGGACTACATCGGGATAGTCGCATTGCTTTGTTAGATTATTGAACTGCAGATTATTTGGACAGGTTTGCAGGATCATGTGGCCGTAGAGGCAGTAAATGAATGCGGAGCAGTTCTTATCGACGGGACCGATCCAATCATTGGGAACATCACAGCACTCGGGATCGCAAACCTTGGGAATGCACACGCCCTCAGTGTCGATAACACAAGCCTTTAGGTTCGTATCGAAATAGGTCTGGCTCGCGCACTTCCTTCTGACCATCGTGCCACCCACACACTCAAAGTATCCGGCACAATCAGCAGGATTAACTTCAATTTCGCCATCTGTGCATGTGGTTGGAACGCATTGGCCATTATCCTTCTCACACTTGCCGCTATCGGAGTTCCAATAGTCTCCGCTATCGCAGGACGCCGACACAAATACTCCGTCCTTGCACACCTGATATTTAGTGCAGTCTGTTGGGTTCGCTTTAGTCTCTCCATCTGTACATGTTTGAGGAACGCACTGGCCGTTATCCTTCTCACACTTGCCGATCTGGGAGTTCCAGTAGTCTCCACTATCGCAGGAAGCGGATACAAACGCGCCGTTCTTGCAGATTAGATATTTAGTGCAGTCTGTGGAGTCCGACTGAGTCTCTCCCTCTGTGCATGTGCAGGGAATGCATTGGCCGTTATCCTTCTCACACTTGCCGCTCTGGGAGTTCCAGTAGTCTCCGCTATCACAGGAAGCGGATACAAACGCGCCGTTCTTGCAGATCAGATATTTAGTGCAGTCTTCTGGGTCTGACTGGGTCTCTCCCTCGGTGCATGTGCAGGGAATGCATTGGCCGTTATCCTTCTCACACTTGTCGCTATCGGAGTTCCAGTAGTCACCGCTATCGCAGGAGGCGGATACGAACTCTCCGTTCTTGCAGATCAGATATTTGGTGCAGTCTTCTGGGTCTGACTGGGTCTCTCCCTCGGTACATGTGCAGGGAACGCACTGGCCATTGTCTGTTTCACAACTGGCGCTCTGTGAGTTCCAGTATTCTCCGCTGGGGCAAGACTTGTGAACGAATTGGCCAGTACAGCAGGCATAATACTTGGTGCAGTCATCTTCATCCGCCTTGGTGTCTCCACTTTGACAGCAATCGTCAGCCAGAGCTCCAATGACAAGTGCCATTGCAATTAAAAGGTGATACCCTGGAAGTTCACAAGCAGTAGCTAGTGGAATACTTCTAATATTGGTGTTATGAGAGATATATCTTACCGTAGTTTAATTTTCGATTGTAACTCATTTTTGCACTCTACTTGCTAAACGACTTTTTCCTACTGAAGCCTTGAACGCCTTGCCTGCGCTTTTATATTTTCCGACAATTAAAATAATTAAATGTTTCTGTTTCGGGTCGGATGCTTGTGCCGATGATAAAGAGAAATCATTGTTGATCGTATCAGTCATATGCAGTAGTTAAACAAAAAAATGTTTCTTTTTATCGTGATGTTAAGAAGTGAAACTGAGAAAGTATAAATTGCAAGATTGTCAATTACCAAGCTCCTTCAGGAAATGTGAATTTATATAACAACAGCAACAATAACATTGACCTAGAAAGAGGTACAAGAATATATAGAAATGTGCTACTATTCGAGCCAATCGATAAGGAATAATTGCTGAAAATTCACTAATGTCTAATTAACAGGGTAGGGAGAAGGGTAAGAGATGAAATCCAAATATAATAAATATTAAAACAACTATAAAATATGCTAACAAGCATTACCCCAGCTTTACCCGGAACAAGAGGGATCTTTTAGTCAGCCTTTTCTATGTAAAATATTGCTGTAATCCGGCTTGGACAAAAAATTTTTGAAATTGTTTCCTAAAATATGTTGCTTTATTTTAAAATTATACTTTCAATCTAGATTGAAGCACACACAAATTAATGAAATACTACACATTGAATTTAAACAGATTTCTTATTGTTTTGGATTGAACTTTGCCAATTTAATTTTCAAGAATTTATTCCGTACGCAGCAAGTTTAAGACCTTGTTTTCATTTACTTTCACCAAGCACTAACCCCTAAGTCTTTTTCAAGTCTATAAATCTAACCGATGGCATATACTCTAAAATAAATTTAACAGCAGTTCTTTTGCATGTGCATAAATGTTTATTTCTTTGAATTATATTTATATGAGATATAATTCGATATATATTACTTTCATTATTATGAAGGGCAATAACCTTCGGTATCGACAACACAAGCCTTGATTGTGGTATCAAAGTAAGCACCGCTTGCACACTTTTGTCTCACAAATTGACCCATAACACACAGGTAATAGGCGGCACAATCTTGCGGATCGACATGTAGTTCGTTTTCCGTGCACTCGCCTGCACCGGGGCAACACTGGCCGTTATTCGGTTGACATGATTCTACTGTCGAATTCCAATAGTTTCCGCTTCCGCAAGTCTTGTGAACAAAGACTCCGCTGCAGCAGACATAGTAGCTGAGGCAATCAATGGGATCTTCCTGGGTTTCGCCTTCTTTGCAACAACTTGAAGCCAACGATTCGGCGCTTAGCCAAAATAGAAGGCATATCAGGAGCACTGTATAATAAATTTTACTTGTAATCCTTGTTATCTTTTACATTATATTCCTTTTTTACCGTATTGATGACGTATTTTTAACCGTGCGAGATACATTTTAGAGTGTAATTTCCTTGGTACACGAACGTTTACTAAACAGCTACGCATTTTATTACACCTTTTATATTATTCGCCAATCATCATAATGAGATTCCTCTCTGATAACGGAGCCTGATAACATTTTGACAATATCTAAGATGTTACAAGATATTGTAAATTATTAATCATTTTATTACAAAAATGGTTTCACTGAAAATAAGGAATGCTGCAGTGCACTTACAGAGCTACAGTGCTGCTCATCTAAATATAGAAATATTTAATTTAATTTTTTGATTTCCTGGCAAACTCTAAATTCAATTAAGACGTGTTTTACACTTTTCGGAAAAATCCACCCCATTATGTGGATCTTCTTTCCCTTGCCCTAAATAATGTCTAATTCTTTATTTCCAGGAATGTGTGTAAATAAAAGACAGCTGCTTTAAACATATAGATGACATTAAGCCTATCATTCGTAGAGCTGTGCATTTTTGGGTAAGTCTGTAATCACAATAATGTTTGCTTATTAGCTAGAATATATGTTAAGGCAATTCCTCTACTTAAAAGTATTTTTCTTAAATGCACAATCACGAAAATATTAGTTTTCTCTTGATTTAAAAGTCCTGTTCATATTCCCACTACAAGAATAATTAGTCCAAAACGCTTTCATATTTTCTCCAATCTCACTCGCTTGTCATACTCACTTCCTGTTTCTATTAATTATTGTTGTGATTTTATGAGCAAACCTAACTGGTTGCTCCAGAACTTGGCTAAGTTTTTGGTATATCCCATTATAATTAAATTGAATTGCGCCGGGCCAGTAAAGACTTATATGTCCAAAAGCTAATACGTTTAATATCTCTAGTGGACAAGTCTTACATGTCTTATCGTAGCGTACTTTGAGCTTTTTGTTAGCTGATAAGGGATGCCGGATAGGGTACTTGATCTTTCTCAACAGCGGACTAACTTAATCTACAAATGTATAAGCTACTGAGTGATTGGGGCTTAGCAAGGGTGGAAACTTTGTTTGTTTGTATTAATCAGGGTACAAACATTCCTCACAACCATTTAAATCATACCGAAATGCTGAGTCGAACAAGAGTTTAAAGGAACAACATTTTCTGATTTTCCTTTATTTATGTAACTCGATTATCCTAAAGAGAACAGTCAACCTTATCCGCATAGTTGCAAGTGGACAGTTTTTGATCCCAGTATAAGCCCTGTCCGCATTCCATTGGAACCTCACACTCGCACTGGCAGACCACATAGCCACTGCAGCTGGTCAGGGATGGAAACAGTATGCCCTCGCGTTGTCCCAGACAGCGACCGTTGCTCTCACAGGATATGCCGGAGGGACCGGCATTCGGACCAGAGGGTGGGGTGTGCTCCCAGGGACAGTCCACATTCTGTGGATAATCACAGATTTCGGTCTCCGAGTCGTAGAGCAGATTGTTGGGACATGTCTTCTCCACGGCACAGTTGAAATTGCACTTGTAGAACTTATTGCAAATGCCCTCTATGGGAAAGAGCGTGCCCTCCGGCTGGCCCTGGCAAACGGTGCTGGTGTTTTCGCATACGACTTCCGGCACATAGCCGTCGGGATAGTCGCACTGATCCGAGGTAGCATTGTAGACCAGGCCATTGGGACAAATCACACTGCTGCTGCCGCCGATTGTACCGGATGTGAGGTCCCAATCGCACACCTGTGCCGTCTCGTTGAACTTGGTGTTCGCATCGCAGGGCATGGCAACTGGACACTGGCATTGGCACACAAAGTAGCCATTGGTATCGGGATTGGCGAACATTTTGCCGTCCCGTTGTCCAGCGCAAACGCCCTGATCGCTACAGCTGGTGCCCGAGGGACCAGCCAGCTCGCCGTCCACATCATCGGTGTCCGTTGGGGTGCAGTCCACGTTCCAGGGATGATTGCACGCATACTGACTGGGATCGAAGTACAAGCCACTGGGACAGATTTGCTCCGTGACGCAGCCGTGACTGCATTGAATAAACTTCGTGCAGACGCCTGGTAACTCGAGCATGACTCCGTCCGGCTGGCTGACGCAATCCGGACGCTTGTCGACGCAGTAGGCGGGCAACGCGCCACCAGTTGGGGGATCGGTTGAGCTGCCGGGAGCTTCTGTCGGATCCGGGTCGAAGGTACTCTCCCCGGTAGTGCCCTCACTGGTGGTGCTCTGCTTGGTGGTGCCATCACTGGGGGTGGTTTGCTTGGTGGTGCCCTCACTGGGGGTGCCCTCACTGGGTACAGTCTCTGTATTGTCCGTCACGCTGTCCGTTTCGTCCTCATCTTTTGGGGTGGTCTTCTCCGCCTCTGACGGGCAAGGCGTGGTCGGTTGATCCAGCTCGTCGTCTGGACATTCCTCGGCACAGCATGTGCACACGCATTCCTCTTCGCCGGCAACCTTGCCAAATAACGAAAGACCCCTGCAGTCGGCCCGCCACTGGAAGTCGCACTCGCCCAGCTGCGCATTGAAATGTAGGCCACGTGGACAACGGCGAATTTCGGCCACCTCACGCTCCTGGCACACCAAAAATCGTGCACAGTCCAGGGCCACAGGCAAACGCGTTCCGTCCGCTTGATCGTCGCAAATATCCGACCATTGAGCGACTGTGCGCTGAGCACCCATCAGCAAGAGGCACCCAATCAAGGCTGGAATGGATGCGATATTTGTAAGTCATGTCTCGGAGTTGGGTCCGTGTACTTACCAATTCCTCCTTTTATTTTGCACATTTTCTTCGCAAACTAAACCAATTCTTGCCTCACCTGAAACGCGAGACGAACTAATTCGCGTTCTTGGCAGCTCTGAGGCATTTATGGAGGTGGAAAATACAAGTTTTATTTCTTTTGTTTTTTGGCAACAACCATATATACAAGTGTGTATATCAAATCAGTAGTCAATCGCCTTTGATTAGACCAATAACCGTATTTATCTGTTGATTAATTCTCCCGACCTGTTATCTCACAGGCGCTTGGGCTGCGTGCATCGTGTGTGTAATTACGTACTTGTTTCTGGATTCGGGCTCTCTTATCGCTATCAATAGCACAGAAAGTTTTCGACTTCGAGCCATGCTTGATATTCCCGACACTCACGACAATTTCAGTAGTTTACTTATGTTCTTCCTATGCCGATAAAGCATCTTTCTGGTAGCCCACAATTGATATCAGCCAATGAATGGTTCATTCATTCGCCAATACCAGTTATCAGCTACAGAAGTACGCATTTTATTAAAGCTATTCGAGCTATTTCAAATAAAAAGAGTTTAAGCTAAGCCTCTTTCTACTGTTTATGATACGAGCATGTTTTGGGGTATTTCCCTTAAATATAAATAAATCTTTTATAAAAAAAAAATCTATTATTGACCAAAAGTATGCAATAGAATGCATTTTGTCTTGAATATGTCTTCAATCCATTATTAATTATTTCTTTTTTTTTGAAGCATACTTATCATACCCTGTAGAGAGTATTATAAGTTTGGTCAGGATATGTGCATCTCCGAGAATATATATATATAAGAATATATATATACACTAAATAGGGTCAGTGTATATATATATTCTTCATCAGTAGCAAAAGCTGAGTCGAGTTCGTCTGTCAGTTGCTATGAAATATAATTTCTTAACTGTGATTCTTCTAAGAGTTTTAGATTCAAGACTGATCGAAGCTTGTTTTAAGAATAGCTTTATCTCTGATTACTAATTCAATATTCTTGAAGTATAATAAGAAAAATTTGACTTGGTTAATGTGGTCTAAATGGAATTAATATAAATAATTAAGTCATAAATGTATGATTTATAAATCATTTAAATTAAGTTCAATAAAAACATATTTCTAGCTCAAACAGGGATTACTTCAAGAACAGATTGAGCACAATTTAAGACTATATTAGTATTTTTTTCATGGTTAACATGATGATCATTTAAGAATTTATGGTCCCAACTTTATCTTATGTTTTACATAGTTTAATCATTAAAACTAGATCCTATACTATTTGACACAGCTTAATTGATTCAAGTAAGAAACCGAGAATCTTTTTAAACAATATGAATATCAAGGTTTCTAATTCATAGAAATATTACATACACTTCCAGTCTTAGCCTGTTTAAAGGGTATTAAGAATGCGGCATGACACATATTAAATCTGATACCATTGAGTAACTTGAACAACAGTTTGGCAGTAAGCGATATTTCCACAATTAAGACACAAAACGCACACATGCACAGATCAGATGTAGAAAAGAAATCGTTAGATTAAATACATATGTATTTGCATGCCATGTAGTTGGAGGTATGACATGTACTGTTAGATTGAAATATATTTGTGCACCTTGATGCACAGCGAGTGCGGTGACAGGCTTCCTGCTTTGGGTCTAGTTAGATGGGATCCGCTGGAAACTGAAACCGAGACAATTCTAATTATTTTTTATGGAAACACACGCCGGGGTACGCTTGAATTAAATTACCAGGCCAAGTAAGACAAACAAACTAACTAACACTTAAACGAAGAAAGAAAGGAAGAGCAACAAATGTAAAGCTTTTGGTCTTTGGGCCTAGACGCATCATGAGATTGATTCATGCTGGGCAAAGTTGGGCTTATGGGTGTACATTACATTGTAAGCGTTAGTGCAGGGTCGGACCCCGCCTGGCCCAGTTGTGATGGCTAGGTAAAAGCCAAAAGACAGAAATGCGAGTTGATATCGACAATCGCTCACATACGTAGCAGGGCAGACGAGCAAGCACTGAGGTCTATTGTAAAAATCTTCTCAGGTGTAACAGGTTTCTCAGATTTAAGCAGAGGTTGCGCCTGTGCCCCACACAGTCGTCAACTGTGACTCGTTCGCTCGCCTCGTTATCAGTCGTGATCGCGATGGGAATGAATGAATGTGACAAGAAGTGCTCCAATATATATATATAGACTAATACGAAACACAACTATGCACCAGCCAGTTCAAATTGAAGAACTGAGATCGATTGGTGCATAGATATCGCCCAAAAAGTAATTCATTTCAATTCTAGCACCATTCGAAATCAGTGCTTTTTATTCGAACCGATCAGCGGCGCATCAAAACAAGTGTTTCGCGTGAATTACAGCAAATATTGAAATCAAACCTAAATCGATACAAAAGTATTGCAGCACACAGATAAATTTGTCTATATTCAGTCATTTACATGACTTTTTGTAAGTATTCGCTGCAAGTGACGACCGCGATCAGCTCGGAAGCCCTTCAAGTTCAACGAAGGTTTCTCTCATTCTCGACGTGCTGCCGTTTATTGACTTGAACAGAAATACCTGCAATATGCGTCACATAACTTAAATATAGCCAAATAGACAAAACCCACAATTACGCTTAACTAAATTTGATTAGAAATTTTTCCTTTGTGAAAATTTTATTAATTATCGATTTAGTTTGAAACGGAGCTCAAAATCACGTTTGCTTTCTGAAAGTAAATTACAAAAAAAACTTTAAATATTTTGCTTGAGAAAATTACAATTAAACAATAACATTGGACTCATAAAATATTAGAAATTATTTCCGCTAACCGGCTCGAGATTAATATTGTTTTTTTATAACTTATAAATATCCAGAACATTAGCAGCTTATCTGTATAGCTATTTCAAGAAGCCCCCGCTTTGCCTCATCCAGCTTTGCCTTCGACTCACGGAACTCAAACGCCTTTAACTTGTTGAGAATTGCAAGCGTCGGGCAAAGAAAAAGTACAGCTGGAAAATTAGGAAAGCGTTAAAAATGAGTTTCAATTTAAATTTCAAATTCATTTCTATATAAATCGTTACAAATCCAATTCAATTTAAATTTTATTTTAATAATTCTTTAAAATTGATTTAAAGCTAAAAGTTAAATTTTAGCATTTGCAAATGTAATATTCAATGCATGTATACTTTTAATAGGAATGTTAATAAATGAAATAAAGCAAAAAAATAATGCGAGATAGTCAATAATTGCTGTTCAGCTGTTCGTTTACCTTTGTGGGACCTGAGACGTCAGTCATCCCTTATCAGACCTAGAAACACATGTATTTACTTAAAATTGATATATTTACACCTGTTTTGAAACGCACCTCCAGTTAAGAAACAATTACTGTACATACTTATCAAATATCTTGCGTCATAAATCTTCTTTGGCTAACAATAAATTAACGCAAAGCATTAATCATACCAAAAACTCAAGACGTAAACATGTTCCACATTTGGCGCCAGTATCGAAATTCTGCGAAAAGCTGATGCAGTTCCTGGGATTTCCAGGCCCTTTTTATTGAAACTTGTCAAGGTCACGTTGCGCCGAAAATAAACATCCTCTTTAAGTTTTTTGCAAATTCGTTTTCAACATGGCAGCAATCAGACGGCAATTGTCAGATATCGGCAGGTGGATGCCGGCGGTTCAGCTGATAGCGATGCAATGTGACATGCCAAATCTTATCTGAGCTGAAATAGTAATTGGTTTCCAAATATATAGCCTCGCTGCTTCAAATCGGAGAGTAAGAACTTACAATTTATTGTCTATATAATGCCGCATTCCCGTTTGCCGGCAGTTAGTCGGTTTTGTTTACCCAACAGAAACGATGCAGGGAACTGTCAGAGCTGCAAGTGTGCTGCTCCTGCTGCTGGCATTGGCTGTCCAGCTGCAGCACAGCAGTCAAACGGAATATATCAGCAGCGGCAAGGACATATGTCGCCTCTTTCCCGATGGCACGAAGATACGCAAGCCCGGCTACTGCGATCGAACGGTTGTGTGTCAGAATCATGTGAGCATAGACGACGAAATATGCAGTGGCAGCACATCATACTTTAATCTGGCCAAGGGCACCTGCTATAAATCACTGGAAACATCGGATAATTACTGCAAATCGCCGTGCACCTCGAAAACTACTGGCTATGTGGGCGACACTTTTAACTGTGCCAACTGGTACTATTGCGAGAAGACCAAACTTGTGACTAGTGGAGTTTGTGGCTTCGACATGTGGTTTGACCAGGAGAGACAGGTCTGCGATTATCCCAAGTTCGTGACGTGCAATGCCAAGTATGATCTGTGCAATGTGGTGCCCGCCGGTATCACGATTAAGGACGAGCTCTATTGCAATAAGTATCTTACTTGCAAGGCGGGTACGAACACCACGATCGTGTGTGACGATGGACTCTACTATGATGTGACGACAGCAACGTGCATCAAGAAGGCCTTGGTGGACTGTGAAAAGCATCCGTATCCGGAGAATGTCTGCGGCACAAAGAAGCTGGCCATACGAGATAAATTTGTGGCCGACGGTGCCACCTGTCGCGGTTATTTCCATTGCCGTGATCTGGGCTCAGGTGTGCCGGATCCGGAACCGCAGTGGCACCAGTGCCCCGTTGAAACCTTTTTCAACGAGGATATCCAACTCTGTCAGCCCAGGGCGGATCGCAAGTGCTCGGAGGATCGTTGCGACGGACGTGACTCTGGCTTCGAGCTGGCCCAGATTGAGGGTTGCCAGAATTATTTTGAGTGCGAGAATGGTGTGGAAAAAACACCATTTAAATGCGACAACAATATGTATTTCGATGTAGCGACTCAAACATGTACAGCTGAGAAAAAGGAATACGGTAGCTGCAGCTCTGATAAAGACAAATACGATCCCAATAACTGGGTTTTTTAAATAAACTCCTACAAGTATTGACATCAATTCATTCGAATTAAGCATTTAGTACATGTAAATCATTTGTTTTTTATATAATTATCCATTGCTGGGAAACAATGCCCGCAATATTTGAAAAACGTCAGTTTACTCAAAGGAAAGCAGGCCCTGAAAGGTGTTCACAATAGTGCTCCACATGCATAAAGCAGTGGTATGGTGTTTGCCAAGCAGTTTATTCAAGCAGTCTGTTGAAATGCAGTGCTTCTTGCGCTTCACACACTGCACGATTTGCACTGCTTTATTTATTTTAAGACTTTGGCGCGTTAATTTAATTAGGCATATTTTTTTTGCATATATTAACACAATTAAAAATTGTACTGTATGTAAATCTTTTCAATTAATTTAATTTACATATTTTACTAGCTCAAATATATATATATACAATCCCTTTTCAGACACCTAACTAAAATGTCATATGACATGTAATTTAATCCGGCAAGGCCGGATATGTAATGAAAGTTATTTTAAATATTGCCTATGCCTGTTCGATTCTCATAAATATAAGTCTCCCGGCTTTAAGCTTTGATTCAAAGTTTTATATTTAGCAAAATTTATGCATCTATATGTGTATGTATGCATGTAAATATTGAGGTGTTTATGTTTGTTCGTATATATGAAACACAGACAAACTTTTTTGTGCTGTGCTAAAAATTAAAAAAAAAAAAGCGTTGACGAAGTGCAACCGATATATGTCGGCGAATTACACATTAAAACAAAATTGTTTTTCATTTTAGAAAAATTAGCTAGCCAGCTAAATAAATATTTAAAAAATGTGTATCATTTTAAATGTCGCCCTTCTCCACGATTCTCATGAATTCAAGTAGGACAGCTTTCATGCATCAATCTTAAATATTTAAAATTAGTTGCGTTGAGTATTATTAAAATTATCTTCGTATCCTCATTCTCAATAGTTCACTTTGTCGTTTCTTGTTTCTCATACTCTTACTTACTTTCGACATCTTTTTTTTTTCAGTGATATGGATAAATTAAAGTCTGTATTTGTCCATCTAATAGATGGAGATACAGCTATGGGGGCTGTTCATGTGCATTTTTGGGTAAGTACCAATCTTTATATATAATACACATATATTTATATGTATGTGTGTAGCTGGACAGGGATTATTTCCTAGTATATATGAAAAAAACGCTTAGATTTTACTAATTTAGTTTAAAAAACCAACAAAAAGTTTGACTGTCTAATTGGGTAAACAAAATATTTTTATAAGATAAACTAATAAATATTTTACACTGACCCAATATGTTTTTGGGTATTTGCTACGACTTATCCTGAGCTTTGCATTTTCCAACGCCTGTGTGGATACCATGGCAAACATTTGAGTTTGGTATGAAGCATGGGGCCATTATCTGTCAGACGGAAGATGCTCCAACTCCGTTGCACCAAAGGGGGAGCTGACTCAACCCCCATATGAGAGAGAGAGAGAGCACAAATGCTGCAAATGAAACTCTATTTTGCAGAGCTGCAAACTGCACGCTGCAGCCGGCAAAATTTCGCTTTTTTCCATGTAGAGACTTTCCCTGTAGTTTTCATTTTAGACTACGATGTGACATGAAAAGCAAACCAAAGAGACAAAAGCAAAAAGAATTTATCGTGGGAGTGTGTTAGTAAGGCTAATTGGCTTTGATGCTGCGTCTGGCTGAACAAATTTGTAAAATGAATGAAGATGTAAAACGGACAGTTTTTTTTATTTATGGACACGTACTTAACATAAAATGCAATCACATTTTACAAGCAATTATTATTTATTTTCTTATAATTTATGAGCATTGCAACCAACTAGTTCTCGCTTCCAGTTGATCTTTGTGCTGATAATTAAAATTATTCAGTCCCTAAATATCAGATATTGCAATGATTTTTTCTAGCTTCAAAGCGTTTATATCCATCGCATATCAAATTTTCACTTTCAATTGTGTATTTTTAAATTTTAGGAATTTGAATCGAATTATTTTATGGAATTTGTTTTTCATTTATGGGAAAGTATTATATTTAGTAATAATAACTTAAAGAGCGCTAACGTAACGACCAACGGTTCATATAATTTCCGGATTGGAGTTAGCCTTGTATTACTTTTTTCCTAATAACATATATCCGCCTTGAATACTTATGGCTACATATATCAAGTACTTTCCCATCGAGCATTTATGGCCACGGTCAATTGGTATGCTTAAAATTTCTGTTGGGGCACTCAGACAACACCCTCTAAGTTGTGCGCTCTCTAAGGGTTGTCCCAGCCGTTGCTCCCCATTGTTAAGACTGTTGTTGTTTATATATCGTACTCAGTGCACGACATTTGTTAGTTCCTCACCTTGCTACAATTTATATGTAAAGCTGCTGTATTTCCTTTCCTGGTAATATCAATTATATATTTGCTCAGTTCCCTGCCCCATCGTGTTTTTGTTAGAAAGTTCTAGTGCGGCAGCCACCCTCTTTTCTGAGTGGATCTAAGGCCTGCTTCCCTGTTGGTTTCACTGCCACTGGCGTCACGTTTGCCGCATGCCACACGCCGCAAGCCGCACGCTCTATGGCAGCGTCTGCCATTTTGGCTTTTCCTGCAGGAAGCTTGCATATTTTACGTGCTGCATGTGGTTGTTGTTGTTGTTGCCTTGTCTGTGCGGGCATCTGTCTGTGCTGTGCGCTGTGCCGGTGCCCCAACTCTTCACTTTTATCGATTGAAATGTGTCTCAGCCTGTGAAATACAGGTCATTGATCTGCTCGTGCCTTTTTTTCGCTACGAAATGCTTCTCGTTTTGCCTGGCTTGAGAGTGGGCCGAGCACCGAATCATCATGCACTGAACCGGGAAGCGGCATGGAGTAGATTGTGTCAGCCACTCGACAGCTTGTGCAGCTTGTGTTCAGTGAAGTCTTTTGGAGTCGTTCCAGAAAACGGAATTGGATAAACTTATTTCCCAATATCTGAATATAAGGATATTAGGATCTGATGACCATGTTACTCATCTTGCTAAAACTGATACTTTCTGCATAACTTTCGTAATACTCAGCTTATTTCAAAATGTTTTACAACACTAGAAATCAGATATATATAGAGCTATGTATATATCAAAAATTAAGTTCTATAAAAGGAATAATTAATTGTTGATTACGGAACATCACAAAATGTAGACTTTACAAATTCATATATTTATAAAAAATTCGGCTTCTTATTTAATTACATTGAGTTCTTCATAGATTTCTTTGAATTTACATTCTAAAGCTTCGTATGCTTCAGCATATCATAAATATTCCTACTGGTAAGCTAAAATATGATATATGCATATAGTTGTGCCGATTCAACCACCATTTCTGACAAAGAGCCAAGCCAAAAGCGTCTGCCCCAGTCGCCATTGCACTCGCTTCCTTGTCACACGGTTTCCGTGTTGGGCAAACAAACGCTGGGGGCGACGACGACGAAGACGAGAACGAGGACGACGACGGGGACGAGGGCAAAGAGAGTGCTGTGCCGGAGAGTGGCGATGATAACAAATTCGTTTTTAGCTTTGGGGTAGTGGAGCAGCCGGCGAGTGGGCCGCGTCGTTTATGTCGTGTTGGGCACAAACTGTACCAAAAGTGCGCACAGAAATGCGCCAAGGGAACACGACGGGCAGCCGGGCGACCACTAGACCAGACCAGACCAGACCAAGCCAGGCCCGGCCCGGCCCGAACTGGCCCAGACAGTGGTAGAAAGAGAAACCAACTGCGACTTATAGCCCAGGATATGTTTGCCAAAGTCGTAGCTGTCAGCATTTATTTCGAGGGTTGCACTCTGGCCGGAATAAGGGAATTAAAATAACTGGAAAACAACAAAAAACAAAAAAAAAAATGGAAAAACAAAAAAGCTGGGAAAAAGCGCATGGAGAAGGCGTCTGCTGGCCCGGTGCGGTTCAATGACCAAATGCCGCCGATGCTATCGTGAGTAGGTCCGCACCTTCCCAAATCGCGGCAAACGCAGAGCTCTAATGTGACTACGAGAAAATTCTCGTTGCCGCAGCCAATGTTGCAAACGAGTTGCAAGGTCGTTGAACGCTGTTACAGTTGCAGTTGCAGTTGCAGTCGCTGGAGAATCTGCAACTAAAGCGCAGTTAATATCTAGCGTTTCTAGCCAAACAAGTTTTCGTGCTCTGCGCAAACCACGCACAATTTGTGCCTTAAGTTCACAATTGTCTGGCAACGCCAATGCTGACAATCAATCATCATAAGTGATTGAAAGATCTGCACAACTGGGTGCTATTTAAAATGCATTTAATATCAATCAATGTAGAGTAAAATTTTCAATTCTCTGGCAACTCCAATGCTACCATCAATCATAGCCAGCGATTGAAGTATCTGTTCCTAGATGGAATTACCATATTACATGCATTTATTAGGTATAAGGTCTGGCAACGCTTATGCTGCTATCATATCAAGTGATTGAAGTGTCTGCTCCCAGGTTAAATTTCCGTATTGAATGCAATTAGGACGTTAATTTTCCCATTCGATACGTAAATTTCGTATTGGGTAGTTCATAATCAAATTTTCAATTGTCTGGCAACGCCAATGCTGGTTCCGGCAAATCTTGCTGTTTGCTTACATTCAGGAAGTATATTACTTATAAATATATTAATAAATTTTTTTGTATGTTTTATGGGTTTTGAGATTTCTGACCATTATTCTTTAGTTCATAATCAAATTCTAAATTGTCTGGCAACGCCAACGCTATCAATCAGTCGTAATCAGTGTCTGAAGTAAGTATCTGTTCTTAGCTAATCATGTTAGTTGAATATAAAAGTAAACGATTTAGATTTTATAAACTTGAGGATTTGTCACCTTTGCAGAATATGCCAGTTGCTGTAGTTCAAAAGTACGCGCTCAATGCAGTTGCTGCAACATTTCGAGTTGCGACAAAGCGCATGCGTCGTCGGGAATGCTCCCTAGCATAAACATAGGATAATGGCCCCTGGAAACGCTCGTTGATGTTATAATCGTTGGCGTCGTTGCTCCCAACGAGGCATAACACAAAAGAGCCCTCGTCGTCGTCGTCGTCGACCCCCCCACACAGCCCCCCACTCTCACTTGGCGGCGCTGCAGGCATTGACACTGACTGCGCCTCCGCGCCTGCATTCGTGTGGCAATGGCAATGGCAATGGCCATGGCACTCTATAAGCTTCTCGTGCGTTCGTTTTTTGCCACACAGACTTGCAGCACACGGACACACCTAGCCTGACCCAACTATTTGGAGTTTTAGCTAAAAGTGCTCCGGCTAGCAATTACTTTGTATTTTTAGAATTTGAAAAAAATATTCTCTTCGTAATTTCAAATTTGGTTTATTCAAAATTTTGGAAAGCTGAGAAATTCCAAGTATTGTTTCGCAGATCTTTCATATAATAAATAAATTTCTGCAGAAAAATTACGAAAATACTTGATTTCCCTTACCAAAGCTTGTCATTTAAAAGTAGCTCGAATAGGTTATAGGTAGCGGGGAGTTGAAGTCCCACCGTTCGTTACGTATTAATGAATTGGGTGATGTCCCTGTTGTACAGTCATTTTGTGCTTCAAATGTTGCTTCGTTTCGCAACATACCAGCGTCTTGGGCAATGTCAACAGAACTCCTTGGCTCGGCACAGAGGTCGGCGTTTTGTTTTAGTAGAGCTTCACTAGCCTTGGCTTTCGAGGCGGCCTGCCGCGAGGAGCGTCGAACTGGCTTAATTACAGCTCTCGGCTTGCATCTGGCCTTAGCGATGCGGCTCACGGGCTCACTTTTGGAGCTCTTAATATTGCGCCTAGAACGCTATTTGATGCGAAGATGCAATCGCTTAAATAAATATACGTATTTATGCATGAACAACGCTTACCTTTTCCGGACTAGGCGGCGTTTGCCATGGAATTGCGCTAGCTCCGTTTGGGAAGCGCAGAGATTGACGCAGTGCATAATCCGAGGTGCCTGTGCGAGCCAAGATGCCCAGATGCGTTAGGGTGCACAGCGATCTCATGACATAGTTCTCCATGTTTTTCATCTTCTTGCTCCGACGCATCTGGAACTCCACCTGACGGACAATGCTGTGGGCGGGCACGAATGCCGATATGGAATATTTGCCCTCAAGGACAGATAGAGCCTTCATCACGTTTCGATTTATTTTTTTAGGAACGTTGAAGTTGTCCATTTTGTGCGGTTTTTTATCCCGATACGATAGAAAGCTTATGTATTTAATGTTTTGAGATGTTTACAGCTCTACGGATGTAGAATTTATGATCTCTGACGAGGTTTGATCTATAAACACAACAAATCTATGTTAGAGGCAATGTCTACTAAGACGAGCCAGCAGGATCAACTCTGTTCTGACAACACACGCTTCCGCCCCCTACCATCAAATTCAACGAAGCTTTTATTTATGTGTGCCTTACTATGCGATTCTCATGAATTTAGATACGATTTATAGTATTTCATATTCAGATTATTTAAAGAAGTTATCTTGATTTCTTTCTCTAGCTCTTATTAAATTTCTCTAGTTTTTTATTACTTCTTTTACTAATTAGGGGTGTAAATACATAAAAGACTGCTCCCTCCCACTTATAGATGCATTTTGGGTAAGTTCATAGTTGCAAATATATTTATATATCTTTGAGAATATATGTTGAGGAAATTCGCAACTGAATACGGGTTATCTTCTGGCTAAGACATTGGAGAACATGTTTGAGGAACAAGAATTCAAGGAATATGTTTTTTACTAAGTACGCCACAGTGTTAGGGTAGATCCTTTGCTGGAATCGAGAGAAAGCAAATAAACTAACTTCCAGATAAAAGTTTGTAATCTTTTAATTAGGTGGAGAAAAACAAATTTATTCAAAAACGAATTTTGCCGTTAGTAAACACTATAAAGGCTTGTAAGAGTTGCCACCCACGCCAGAGACTCATCTCAACTGAATGCAGCCATAGAGATTTTCACTTAATGATGAAAAGTGCATCACAATTAAAATGAAAAGCAACGAAAAGCGAAAACTTTCAACACATACATAAGTCTGCAGGGATATACAAAGTCGCAAGCACACACACACACACACACACACATGCATGCACAATAGAACAATAACAGACTAACCTATTGTAAAGTGGTGAATACATAAATACGCACACATAGACAGAGCCAAGCTATGCACATTTGACGTACATACAAAATTTTACTGTTGTGTTGGCAACAATTTCCAAAATGGCGTCTCAGCGTGACTATCTTGCCAATGCCTCCCGCCGCCCAGCGCCCGCTCAGGCCCCAACAAGCCGGCGAACCATGCAACCAAATACATGTTTAACCCGGGTGGAGTATCAGAGTGTGTGTGTGTGTGTTTTTTTTTTGTCTGCAGCAGCAGAAAAGGCAGCAAAACAGAAAAACGGAGCCACTGCCACTGCCACGGCCGGAGCCGCAGCCAGTGGCATTGTGAGTGCAGAGCGGAGCAGGTCAATGATACCAAAAGTTAACCCACACCAACAACGTCTGCAGCGTCGCACTTGAGCAATTTTCACAAAAAAAAAACAACAAAAAAACAACACACAACAACGAAAAATAAACAACAACAAAAAACGTGAAAACAACAACCAGAACTGTTCGCAGTGCTGCCAGGCCGCACCCTTTGGGCAAAGCCACCCACATGCACACCCACAGCCAGAGCCAACTTCAGAGTCAGCGCCAGTGTCAAGTTTACGCCACATGTACACACACACACACACACACACAGACATGCACACACACGCACACATGCATGCAAGCAAGCAAGCAGATCTGGTCATGAACTCCATTCTCCATTTTCAATGGCAGCCATAGGAGTCCCCGCAGAACCCTAGCACAAAAGCTCTTTTATCTATCGCATGTTTAATTTGTGCACTCTGAAAAGCGTTTGCGGTGCGACGGTGGCAGAGGGGGGGAGAGAGAGCAAAACGAGAGAACGAGTAAAAAGCGAATGCTACACCTAACTATCACCTCCCACTTGGCCTGCCCACACCAAGCCAACGACAGCGATGCCAACTGCGACGCCTTATGCATCATTTATTGCCCCCCTCCCCCTCCCCCACCACTTTATTATTATATCTTTTTATCTTTTTCCTGTGCAGCAACAGCGGCAGCGGCAGCAACAACAAGAACAGCATGCGCCACGCCACAACTTGAACAACGCGGTGAAGGTCATTGCTACCAAAATTGTGTCTCCCTTTTGTCCTACTCTACTCTCGACTCAATTCGACTCGCATTCTCATTCGCCGCGCTGCACACCAGAGCAAATACACCAAAGCACACACACACACATAGCACATGCCGTCTGTGAGCGTGTGTGTGTGTGCTTGTGTGCGCATTTCTGCATTTAATCGTTGGCAACGACGTCGACTACTACATTCGCACATCCGCACATGCAATGCGGAGCAAGGGCTCGCACAGCGTTGCCAGACTGTTTCTTTTTGTACAGCGTAACAACGCAAAGCGAGCTAGAACTGAAGAACTGTGTGCACTGGCAACACTTGCCGCGCATATTACAACATACTACAGCAAAGAAGAGTCAGACCAAAAAAGCAAACGCAACATAGAGGGAAAAAAACTCGTTCAGCTCGGCTCGACCCGTTCCGCTCCCGTGCCAAAAGCAAACTGTGTCTGTGTCACTCAACCCACTAAACTCGCACACAATGCGGCGCTGATGACGACGATGACGACGACTCGAACTCGTGTTTGCTGCCTTCTCCAGCTCCATGCGCCTGCCGTTGTTGCATGCAACATATTTTGCGCGACTCTGCTGCTGCTGCTGCTGCTTCAGTCCTCTGTTTCTGCATGCTTTTGTCGCTGGAACGTGGGTTGTTGTTGACTCTATGCGCTCTTTTAAGCGTTGTTGTTGTTGTTGTTGTTGCTGTTGTTGCTGGCGCTGGGTTCAATGTCTGGTGGTTGACCTACCCGTACCAGATTTTCAGCGGCACGTTGCTGCTGCTGCTGCTTTTGCTGCTGCATTTTGCACATTTGCCGTTGACTCATTTCGTACCACCCACTCCCCCTCAGTTGATTGTGTGGCAAGTGAAAACTAACGAAAAAAATATAGAAAAATTGTACAATGTTGGCGTCTGTCGTCTCCAAAGTAAAAGTTGTGCAACTGAGTTAGTTGGGAGCTCCTCGATATATTTTTGTTCTCTTGTGCTGGGGGGTGGCTGGGTTGGTTGGCATTAGTTGTGCGGCCACTGAAATTACACAACGTTGTTGTTGTCATTGTCCAGACAATTGCTCATCAAAATGTGGACTTGATAGTTGGTTTGGCTGATCTGCGGCTTCCCGGCATGGTTGCATCAAGAGCTCTACCCTTGACCGAGGGCATGGCTGCCAAGAAGACGGCAAAGCTTTGCATTCGATTGCAGCGCTTTTCGTGCACGTTATCCAACTGGTTTTCCACTTGTAATTTCACTCGCTTGGCCAGTTTTCCACAAAGGGGCCTCACCTGGTGCAAGAAAAGCCAACAAACCACACTGGAAACTATTAGAAGATTCAAGGCTAAGGCTGCATGTCTCAGGCTAAGGTCATTGCCATGCTGCACGTCGCTGCTAACATATACCCTGTACAATACAATTCAAATGGGGTTAGATGGGCAAGGTTTTGTGTACGGATTATTTCATAATAAATCGATTTATTTACACTTGATATTTTTGTTATTATTATTATTATTATTACTATTATTATTATTTTTATTATTAATATCATCATCAATATCGTTATCAGTATCATTACCATTCGCATTATCATTATCATTATCATTATCATTAGCATTAGCATTAGCATTAGCATTAGAACTTTCATTGTTGTTACATTTATTATTTTTATTATTATGATTCTTTTATCTTTGTTATTCTTTCTATTGTTATAATTATTTTTCCGCTTCTAAGACCTTTTTACCATAATCTCATCTTTTCCCATCGGAGTTTTTTCTGGTTTAATCCCAAAAGTCACCTGCAAGTTTTAATGGAACCCTTATCTCTTGTTTGTTCTCATTGTAAATTTGTATTATTGAACATTGACAGGGTATTTAAGCAATGGGTATGCCCACCTATTTTCCGGTTCTATCAATGCATTTTCGCATTTGAATGCAACTGAGGAAAAACAAGTTTTTCACCATTCAACTGGAAGACAAAAGCCAGTTATTAATATTTTCTTCAAAGGCAACGGCGACTTGCTAAGCAAGTTCTAAGTTCTATGTTTACCTGTCGTAATAGAGAAAGTTCTTTCTGTGTGTGTGTGTGTGTATTTGTGTGTGTCGTAATGTTGGCTCCTAAGCGATTCCATGGGAGAAAGTACTCTCGGTAATGGAGGAAAGTACTGTAATCGCTGCAATTGTCATGTGTAATGCCAATTGGAACTAGGTAAGGTGAGTTACAGTTGCAACCCTCTTCAGGTAACGCTGGCTGGCAATTTGCTGCTGTTGCTGTTGCTGTTGTAACTGTTGTTGTTTACCCATTGCCAACAGCGGCGAGTGGCACGAATGACAAATTACCCTGCAGACGCCACATATGCATATCGTGCAGCTTGTCGGTTTGTTGTGCTTTTGACACAAAACGGCAAAGTCCCAGGTGCTGCGATCCAGAGTTTCCGGGACACCGTGTACACATTGGCTAGAGGGGACGCGGTGCGCTAAATCTTTGGCAATTGACGGTTTGGAATATATAATTTAAGCTGTCAGTACGTGTGACATAGGAATAAAAAAGGAAAAACACCCACGACTTGCCTTAAACCCATGCCAGAGCATTTGATTCCTTTTTTGCTGGGCTATGTGTCTGTACATATTGATTGATAAAAAGGTTAAAAAAAAGCTGTAAATGAATTAGGTTCTATATAAACTGATTGACAACTTAAAAATAACCAGCGAGTATTCCCCCGACTTGCCCGTGGCACGTTGAGCTTAAAAATGTAACCCAGTGAAATATTCAACTTATTTGTGAATATCTAATAAAGTACTAAAAGTTGGAATCAACGTATTGCCATTGTTAGTCTGAGAATCCTGAATAGAATTCTCTTTGCTATTATGAAAAATGGGTGAAAAACAATTGTGAATTGAAAATGTGTTGAAAAGTTTTTTGGAGACATGCTTCACACTTATTGGCACATTTCCAACACTGGAAAAGGGGTATTCAAAACTGTTTCATTAATGTATTCCAAATGTATTCCTACATTAGATCAGGTGGGTAACCTTGTCAGTTGCTGTTATTTAAATTTATCGCTAAGGCCACCGTTCGC